ATCCCGGCTTCAACCGATTTCATCGCCGCCGCCTGCGCGCTTTCACCCACGGATAGCATATACGATGCGCGGGAACTCTGCCCGCTTTAACTTTATACATAACATGACGGGAACGGCGAAAAACCTGTCGAGAGTGCCCATACAATTTCTATCCCAAGAAACTACCAGTGTAAAGCTCGAACCCGCTCTGAATTGACCAGTGCCGCCACGGTTCATGCATGCTTCCCCTAGCGGGAAAGTCACGAAACACCGCGATAGGAGTGTGGCTGCATGGGCTAGTTATGACGACAGTTATAGCGCTAACGTGACGACAGTTATGGCGCGAGAACAGAACGACGACACAGAGACAAGAATGGATTTGATTGATATGTGGGGTTCCAAAACCACCATGTGATTATGAGAGACGCCGTAGTGGAGGGCTCCGGAAATTCCGACCACCTGGGGTTCATTAACGTGCACCCAAATCTGAGCACACGGGCCTACAACATTTCCGCCTCCATCGGAAATGCAGCCGCCGCAGCCGGGATTCGAACCCGCGACCTGCGGGTCAGCAGCCGAGTACCTTAGCCACTAGACCACCGCGGCGGGGCAGAGACAAGAATGGAGATGTCCTTCATGTCCTGCTTGTCTCTGTGTCGTCGTTCTGTTCTCGCGCTGTAACTATCATCACCGCGATAGGGTCTTGCGCAAAACGGAGAGAGGGCGAGCATGCGAGGGTGTTGAAGGGCCCCCCAAACAACTTCTGAAAATACAAAGAAACAAGCGCGTTATTCTCTCTTGGCATTCTCTTGCCTTCTCGGCGCACCATGTCTGTCTGTTCACGCGGCGTCGTTACGTAATGAGCTCTCGATTGGTCGATATGCGAGGGATCAGCTGTGAATCGTCTCCTTTCCTAATTTGTCATGCCGTAGCACGCCCGTTCTGTCTTGAAATGATTTCCCTTCGTTTTGCAGAGATGACAGTGTGTGCGAGGAGGATGGAGAACCTGTGGAAAGGTAGTTAAGGCGAGAAAGAGACCTCTCTCCCGTCTTTGTACTCAGTGTGGTGTCAGGGACCCTTTAAAACCGACCGCCGCCTTGCATCCTGCCCGCAGGGGCGCAGCAATCCACGCTGCATGTGCCGCCATCTTGCGGCACTAAGCGAAGCTGCGCGCGCGCGCACGCGCGTCTCGGAGCCTTCAGTGGCCGCGGTCAACATGTGCGCGCGGGGAGAATCAGTCCGGGGCGCAATCCGGGCAACCAGCTGCGGGTTTTCCGATTTCGTGGATCATCCGCGCCCGCTTTCCGTATCAGCGATCGGTGTGAACGTGCCTTTCAACAAGACCAGGAAGCGCCATTTCCTATCTACAACCGCCACGACGATCACCACGCGATACCAGTACACCGCCAGTAACGTGCCCAAGGTGCAAGGTGACCCGGCATTTCATGCACGTCATACCGCTCAAAACGGGCAGAAGATGCAGCCAGTGACAGTGTACGAAGGAGTTGCTAGTGCTCAGCACTATGTAACCGCATGTGAGTGCGCGTGCAATTTTTTTTTGCACCAGTGACTTTTGTTTATTAGTGTCAGGCGTGTAAAAATACATACGCGATCGTTTCTGGGTGTCCATTCGCTCGCCGCTGCGGCAGAAGCGGTGGTGGCTGTAGAAGTGGTAGTAGTGTAGGCTGTAGTAGTGTTCGTGTTAGTTGTACGTGATCCCCTTAGGTCTGCGGCTTGCCCCTCGGGACAACTCGTTTCCGGGTCCTCCTACGTGGTCAGACAAGGAGCATTTGAGAAGCATCATTAATCATTGTCCGAGAATCGCGCGGTTGTGAACAATGCGCGCGGCATCCCGACGGGGTACACAGCGGTGCACTGCTAAAGCGCCTCACCCATAACTTTTTTTTAATATTTCAAGAAAACGAGCACGTCGGGTTCAGAGAGCCGTTACGATCAACAATGGCAAACGCGGCAGCGCTACACGCCGCGGGCGCCCGGAAAACCACAAAAACTTTTCTGCTCCCTGGCCCTTTCGGTAGTGTTCGACGTTGGCCGTGACGTCAACACTCGCACCTGATCACGTCATCCATGAAAAAAACTTTTTTGTCTGCTTACAGGCATGCGCTATCACTGTTTTTCTTCCTCGCACGGAGAGGAGCAGCCACGGAGAAACAAGGAGCACTGTCAGCCATGAGGAGAGACGAGCGTAACGTACAAGGCGTAGGGCCTTTCATGTATGAAACGCGTGTCAATCAGCTACGACGGCACCATATCGAAAAATTTTCACGGCTACGTATTCGTTGTAGACTCGACTCACGCACAGCTAACAGCACAACTGAATTCCAACCTATGGTTGGTTTAGAGCCCCCTAAAAGTAACATCGGAGCGCGTGGCTAAGGTGCCTAGATGACCGCTAGGTGGCCCCGGTGGCTGCAAAGACTCGCGCAGGCGCAGTGCCCGAAGCTGAGTGGTTCTCTATCGCCGTCCGCGATCGAGTATATGCTGTACCCTACGGGATCTGAAGGTAGCCATCTGAAGGTAGCACTCTATAGTTCGCTACTGTCGAGCGTCGCGGTGCACGGTGCACAATGAAGCCCCGGTTTGCCCATAGAAACACTGGGCCGAGAACTCGAGGGTTGAACCTGACCCGACAGAGGTCTCCGCGGTGTGTAACCATGGATGGAAGCTCGCGCGTTCGGCGCACAGAATCAATCGAGCATAGACTAGAACATTAGAAGGGTAGACCGCGCCCTGCGACGCCGGCACCTACACACCACGCAGGATCCTGTGAATAACGTATTTTCTCTCTTTCTCCGGTTTGCCCCTACATCTCTTCAAGAGTGGACCGCTGTGAACACGTTTTACCGCGAAAACAAGAAAAGGGAAAGCCACCGACATACGTTTCGCATTCTTTAACGTTGTGTCATATTTATTATTTATTTATTTACTTCATTGGCAGATTCTGTCCTTCGCGTGCTTGGATTTCTCATTTCGACCTCACGCTTCCGATTGTTAGCCAGGGGGTTAGCTTGAACTGGAAGAGGGACCGCCCCGGAAAGGCGTTGGTTCCGGGTTCGATCCACGGACCCTGAAAGAGTAATTTTTCGTCAATGAAGAAGCTTCGCTGTCTCAGTAATCTCCATGATCTCCGTTATACGTTTGTATAAACTGCTGGATAGCAATCTTTCGATATATATATATATATATATATATATATATATATATATATATATATATATATATATATATATATATATATATATATATATATATATATATATTGTGTGTGTGTGTTGCTGTCCGCTATCTTAACAGCAACATGTTTCATTCCATCTCAACTAAATGAGAGAGATGTTTCTGGGAATTTCTCATCACGATCAGCGCACGACAAAGCACTAAAACAGAAGAAAGTGCACGAAACAAGCACTTTTTTTGTATTTGCGTGTTTTTGTGAGCTATTCGTGATGAGTATGTTCCAACTAGCCCAATTCGCTACTTCTGGGAACTTTTACACGGCCAGAACCCCAGGTGGTCGAAATTTCCGGAGCCCTCCACTACGGCGTCTCTCATAATCATATGGTGGTTTTGGGACGTTAAACCCCACAAATCAATCAATCAATCTTTTACACGGCCTGGCTATGCCATAAGCTCACAATCGGAAACATCTGCGAGCATACGATGGACACGTTTTTAATAACGTAGAGCTGCCATGACGCCATCTTCTGGCAATTAAGAAAAAAAGGAAGTGAGTTTAAACAGGAGCTCCGTCGACTAGCGCTTTTTTTTTTCTCTCTTCTCCTGCCTCTCTCCTGATAATCTCAACTACTTAGTGTTTATCGCCAATCGTTTTAGAATTGTACTTAGTTTTGCTCTGCAATTGTTTAACATATGTAAAGCATCGTGTATTCTTCTTTATCTTGTTCTAGTTCGATCATGTGATTTCTGATTCCTGTCTCCTGTGTAAACTTATTTGCTTTTATTCATTTATTTATTTATTTACTCTTTTTTTCCTGTTGAACATTGTACCCTATCTTGTTACTTGTCCCCCCTTATGTAATGCCTTTGGGCCTTTAAGGGCGAAATAAATGAAATGAAATTAAGTGTGTAACCATGGGAGCGCGCGCTCTCGGCGCACAGAATAAATTGAGCGATTCAGCGATAACAGAGGCCACATTCAGGCATGCTCCATTGACCGCATATAGAGGCGTGCACACGGCGACGAAATGAAGAGAGCCTCTAGCGAAGCGCTTGTTCAAGCGAAGCTACAGCTCACAGATTTCGGTGACGTCATGCGCGCAAAGTCGACATGTCAAGCGAGCGACCGAAACAGAAACTTGGGCCCTCGAGGATGCGCCGGCCACATGCGAGTTTGCATCCCACAATCGACGCTCCTTCGATGTGTGTACCTTTATCGGCGGTGTCGGTTCACGTGACCACGTTTCAAAGTCTCCTGGATGTGAACGCTAGGCCGCCTCGCCGTTGCCTGTGTATACCGACACGAGTGTTGCGCCCATCAGCACGTCGGTAAAAAGTCTCAATCCGCTAGGAGCGAGTATTGTGTGTATAGAGATGGCAGTGTGTACACATGCACACTGGTGTAGTTAGGGGGAACGGTTCGGGTGTGTATATGTACAAGTACGAACGCACGCAAGGACACACATAAGGCATGGTTTAATCGAATTCTCCCAATCCCAAGAAACGGTCCAGAAAGAAAGAATTCCTGCCAGAACGTCACAGGTCAAACGTTTCGCTAGGCGCGGTATCGCCATAACCAAAGCAAGCGCTCGTGTGAAGCAAAAGTTTGAATAAGAAGCGGTGTAAAAGAACTTTGGGCAGTATCCTTAAATTACCAATAACTCAGTGTTAGTACCTCGTTTTGTTAACGGTGCTTGGAAAAGCCAAAAGTGGTGCTGTTTTCCAAACAAAGACACCGTGCCGCAAAGGTCTATACTCGTCTTCTAAGTGTGTGTGTGTGTGTTCTTCTTTTTTTTTTAATTTCTCGTTATCCTTTCATTCCTCAGGAGGAGTCATCGAACTCGGCGCCCCCAGCTGCCGCCAAAACAACGCCGACAAAGGGTTCATAAATCGCCGTCACCGGGCACTAAGCGGTGGACCAAACAAGCGTGTGACGTCAAAAGGGTGACGTCAAGGATGCCAGACACCAGACGGCGCGACGCCCACGGAAGCAGACAACGTGAAGTGATCGATGCAGAAGAAGCGCGGTAAAAACTACGCCGAGCGAAGCTTTTAATGGGAAGTCAAGGCGAGAGAATAAATCAGTTCGTTCTGATAAATTATTTGATGTTTTTACTTGCCCAGTATTCACGTACTCGCAAAGGGGTCTAAGCAGGCACGTGTATATATATATATATATATATATATATATATATATATATATATATATATATATATATATATATATATATATATATATATATATATATATATTGCGGGGGGCACCTTGATTTTGGGAGGGGCACCCTCTTAAAATGGCCATTTGTCGCTCTCTATGACATAGCGAAAAAAATCGAGGGGGGGGTGTGCCACGTGGCACCTGGCTACGTCCTTGGGTTAAGCGAATACCGGGTTGGATGGATGAATACGATGAACGTCCCTTTTATAAAGGGGCTTTGACCTGTGCACCACCAAGCTTGTTTTATGTCGCCTTGTTCCTTTACATACTTTAATCAAATTGATCTCGATATAAACAAAAACAGCATAAATTCACAGCCCAGCAATCTGTACACCAGACGAATTATGTATTTTTCCCACTATTTATTTTTGTCCTTTCTCTCTAGTTTTCCGCCACCGATACCGTGACCGACTCTTGCTTATTGCTATCGGGGACGTATACCTTTCCACTGTTGTCCCCCAAACCAAGGGCCTCATGCAAGGCAGCAGCCAAACATGCACCAAGAGTAACAATGTCATCGACATGAACGTGTCGCGTCTTCCTCCTTGACCGATATGTTGTTTTTGCCGGTGCAGTTCCTCTGCGACAACTTGTGACACTTCATGCAACCATAATCATAGACATATTTTTCCCAAGTCAACAGAAAAAAAAGAAAAAAATCATTCGGTAGAAGGGCGCTGCCGAGAGTTAACACCCGTAGCGAAGTGCAATGCACTAGCACTCTGCAATAACAATTCTATGCTTGCGTGGTTCATCTAGGCCCCACCAGAAGGCACCACCTATGCGTCCGCAGCTACAGCAACTGGGTATACCGCTAACCAAAAAGAAGGCTGCAGAAAAATAAAGACTCTCTATTTTCTGGCATGGTTAGAATCGTTAACTCTGATGGCACATTTTTATCACTAAAACCGATGCTGCAGGTCAGTGCGACACCTCCTTTATTTATTTCAATGCCAGTGCCGCAGGTCTCGCAGAAGCCTCCTTCCTGTAATTTTTAAATAATATTGGACACGTTTCTTGAAACACTCTGCATGTGTATATATACTAGTAAAAATCAGCACCTTTGCGGTGGAAGCTATGTTGTTATAGTACAAATAGGTACGTGCAAGTGCATCGGTGTAGTTATGTATCATTCAATATGCCTAAGATAAACTAAGGGTTAGCTCATTTCTAAATACTGTTATGAATCTTATCAAAGCTGTTATTGTTGTAGACTTGAGCTAACCGCATAATACCGGCCACGGCCGCACTGGTCGGAGGTTCATTAGGAAGTAAATGAATAAAGCTTCTAGACTAATAAGTAGCTCAAAGGAACAGCGAACAAGTTTCACGGAGCGGCGCAATTAACCTCCTCGTCGCAATTTCCGGCACTACAAAAAGGAGGGTCTACATATTTGCACCTCAACAGCTCGGGGTCACGTGACCCAAGGTTGAACGTCATATGTGACGTCATTGGAAAAGCGATCGGCTTCAACTGGCTACGCCTTTTCGAGCGACGTTGAGGTCAAGTGACAAAAAAAAAAAAAAAACGGGTTGAGAGATTTCTTTACGGGAGAGACGAAAGCAGGCGGGGAAGGCACGTTTCGTTGCCATTAATACGCTTCCACGCCGCGTGCCTTCTCGAATTAAGGAGCCCGGTAAGAGAAGCCCGCGTAATCGAAGTCACTCCTCGGTGGCGCTCGTATAGACGTATCATGTGTCGTTGTGTAGGTACACAATAAAAAAAATTACACCCAAAAGGGTGTAAAAGGGAGCTTTTTACGAGAAAGCACCCTTTTTGGAAGGAGCTGAATTAACATAGGGTGTCGTCCACGGGACAAGCTCATTTACACCCTTCTGGGTATAAAAATTTTTACTGTGATATGAGAGTATAGTGAGTCTTGTCGAGGGGAGTGCCAAGTGTGTTGTGTATGGGTATCCTGCATGAACGGCCGGTTATGTGTCACGGGCGGCAAACATACTTAGGAACATGTTTTCCGGCATTTGCTGATACAGCTGTTAGCGTCATATACTTTACATCCACAGAATATACTGAAGTCTACAGGTACAGCCCGGAGTCTTCCCGATGGCCTTTCGGTTGCCTCGCGGCTTTTAATTTTTTCATACGTACACATAATGCATGACACCCTCTGGCGCCATGTATATCCGATATCTAGTTGTTGACAGCCCACACTTGAGCATTTAACTTTAGCGGCTTTGCATATGCGAGAATTTTGGCTCTTTTCAAAATTGTGGCAGTCAGGAAACGTCGTCAGTGCAGTCCGGAGCGCGCCTTTTCGGTGTTCTGACCAGTGATACGTACTGTACTACGTTACGCACGCCAACACAGGACTCGCCAGTAAGGTACGAGCGCTCGCTCTTGTCCCTAGCCTAGCTGATCCATCTGAATGTCGCGGAGCGGAATCTTACACGAGCTGCTCGGTCAACTTCATCCTCTTTTATGAGTGCGCAAGCTCACACGCCACCTATGGAAAGCCACAGCGACGTTCACTGATCGTGTAGCTCATGGAATTTTAACAAACGTTTCCGTGGCGGTAGCATTTTCGATGGAGCCAAATATCTTTGAGACCCGTGTGCTCAGATTCAGGTGCCCAATAAAGACGGCCCAGGTGGTCGAAATTACCGCAGCCCTCCACTACGGCGTCCCTAATAATCTGATCTCCCTTTGGGATTTTAAACTCTGAAAAATATTTTTACTATTCGGCCGAGTTGCGACGCAGTGTGAATTGGTGCAACGCAGAAGTAAACGTGATAACGCAGCGCAATGGAGCCAACTATAAATCAGGCCACCAAGTTGACGAACTACGCAGCGTGGATGACGACCACAAGAATGTAAGATAACTTGAAGTAGTGCAAGCGAACCATAATGTAAACAAAACGGGTCTCTCTCTCTCTCTCTCCCTCTCTCTCTCTCTCTCTCTCTCTCTCTCTCTCTCTCTCTCTCTCTCTCTCTTTTTTTTTTTTTGTCACGTGACCTCAAACTCTCTTGAGGAGCCGTGGTCAGTTCAGTGCCATTCGAAGCCAATCGCTTTACCAATGACGTCATATGTGACGTTAACCTTGGGTCACGCGACCCCGAGCTGTTGAGGTGCAAATAGGCTCTCCCACTACAAACGGGAGTCCCATAACGCGTGGATATTCATAATCCTATATAATTGCTACAACGAAAAGACTGCGCCGCTACCAGTGCTCCACGTTAGATAGTACTGCAACGCATCGCAGAAACATTCGATGTCGCGAACGTGCTGTGCAGGTGGTATGATAAATTCCGACGCACGGCACAAAATGAAATTGAAAAAAGCGAAGAACGTACCGGAAAACTACGTGTTCTTTTATTTTTCGCAGAGCCTAGTTAGTGACAACTAAGAAATTATCTGCCAGATAAACGAAAAGAACAAAAGAAATACCGTACCCAGCACGGATGGCACGGCATAAGGCACGAGTATCCCGCGCATTTATAGTAGCATCCGGGATCGCGGCACTCAACAGGTTTCCCTCGAATTTCACCTGGCGTTTTCAGCCTCTCTTTCAAGGTATACGTTTCTTTTTATTGAATCTCTCTCTCCTTGGTCGTTGGCGCGATTCGCAACAATATGCCTTCAAGCTCTGTCAAGCGTGTGCTTCTTAAGCGTGAACCCCTATAGGTTAGCTCTCTTAGTGTTGTCTTCATTCTTTGATCCTTGAGTCGAGTTCGCGCTGCAACGATTTCTATTAATCTCTTTAACACCAATAGACGCGCACATACATACAAAACTCCTTCACTCATTCCATTCGGTGCTGGCCGCATCCACATCGCCGCTCGTTAAAACGATACACGAGACATGCCGTGGCCAAGGCAGCCTTGAGAAAGAAGGGGAAACAAAAAGAATAAAGCAAGAAGCAGGCACGTAGCCAGAGATTTCTGCAACTATTGAGGATCAGAGATATAAGCTGGCTGAAGCGCTCAGACCGAACAGTCTCACTATAGGCATGTCTCTTCATTGGCTATTTTCGTGACGTTAAAAAATGTCTCTGAACATGCATGCGTGTTCGTAAATACGTGAACGGCCATTTATTTCGGTGTCGGGTAAAGTCCGTCCAACCCACTATCATTACGACAATTGCATGGCTTCGTTGCGGTTTTATAAGACCGGCCAACGCCTCCAGGCACCATCGTACGGACGATTTCTATTATGACAACAATTAACGCGTTCATCGCAAACGACTGTGTTCCCTTTCTTAGTCAAATGAAGGACCAGGCTCTTAAGAGCCTGGTCCTTCATTTTACGCAAAAAAAAAAAAAACGGCAGCTGAAAGTGTTCGAGTCAGTGCCCCTTTGAAAGACGGGTAACGGAACTGTCATGATTGTAATTGAAAGCACACCTCAACGCAGTGGCGTAACCAAGGGGGGCAACACCGGACAAAATACAAGAACTGCCCAGAGCAACATCGCATGCATTCATGATTTGATGTCATTTATTCACTGGCAAAATTGTTAAAATTTTCTTGGGGGACACGACTAAAGGCTGAGTAATCACCTGACTAGGCCGTGTCACACTCGCAGCAAAGCAGAAGCAACATACCAGGAAACGTTGTTAGTACAGATTTCATACTGATCTATGCCTCCACGACTAGACAGAATTGTGAGTTGAGTGCACAAGAATGTAAACACAGCTGTCGCTATAGAGTGGTGGAAATTAATACAACGAACACGCGCTCATAATCAACTTCAGGCAACAATAAATAAGTAATCACGGACCAACGCAAGCGAGCTATGGTAAGGAAGCGGAGCGGAGAGCTCGAGGGTTCGTGATGTGAGCGCTCAAAGAAAGGAATTTTTACATGCGAACGCTTATTTAATGCGTCTCCGGGACGAACCGGGGCGCATATATGACAACAAAAAGG